AAAAACACAATCCACGGCCCTGTTCCATAAGGAAAGGAAAGATTCTGACACTGTCAGATAATCTCTACTGCAGAGCAGATCTGATTCATTAATCCTTATTGGTCATCACTTCTCCTTTAAATCACATTTTCTTTTCAAATGCCTGAAAGCAGTTGAGAASGAAAGAATGGGTGTGTTGGCCAGGTAGTCGTGCTTTAAGAAATAGAGAAAGTTTTTTTTGAGAAAATATGCACAAAATCAGATTAAACAATCACAAGGGTCACAGCAAGAGGAAAATATGCAGTGCATCTTTCATGCAGGGTAGAGTGGCAAGGCTTATGTAGATAGATCCTTTTAGTAGCTGTAATATTCAGCAACCAAAAGAGGTCCTGTCATCACCTCTGGCATGCAGGGAAAACAGGATAATGCTGTGAAAGAGGAATCCTAACCTTAATACTTCTATTCTCTCAGATTCGTGCTGTTTGACAAACAGCAATAACCAGGACTTAAGTTCTCATTCAAATCAAGAAAAGGCAAATCAAATAAAGATGTACAGATGCTTGTTCTCTCTTRTTCATCCAGAGATAGAACTTAAACCTCCTCTAGCAGAGACCACCTAGATTTGAAGCTGGGCATATTCCTTAAGAAAATATTGCTACACAGTTTTTGCTTCMACTGAGAAGAAAGAGGAAGAAAGGGCTGGAAATTTGGCTCAGCTCTGAATTCTAGTGCACCAGTGCTTTTACACAAAAAGATAAATTCTTGAACAACATTTGTTTTTGTTTACTGCCTTGACTTGAATATGTTTTCATAATAAAGATTTAAAGTTGTCCAAATGCTCATCTTGGCAGTTCAAAAGTTAGCTTCCTGTCTTGGTTTGAGACAGAACTTCTGCTCACTTAGAGTTTGCATCTGGTTTGARGATCAGGCTAAATTAACATGCAGAGTTGCATTACTGATTAGTCTGATCCAAACCCAAGAAATATTAATAAGTTGGATCTCTAGCCATGGAAATTTTGCTGAGTAACTAGATTTAATGGGATTTTAAGGGGGAAAAACGTATGTTATTTCAGCAGATGCAAGATATCATGGTTTATGAATGCTTCAAAAAATTTATGAACTTAAAATTTTTGTGCTGATAAGTAAAAAAAGTCCTGTGGCCTTTAAGAAATTCCGTTTATCTAAACCATTTTGTTCACTTTTTTTTTTTAAGCTACTTCTGCTATATGTTACATCTAAATGGATTCTAATAGAAGGAAATTCAATTACTTTGGCCCTCCTWGGCAGAAGTTGGTGTAGCTGTCAGTCCTGCTGCACTGCACATACAGCCACAGCGGCATTTTGTGCTGTGCAATGCAGCACTCTGCACAAACACCCGAGTTAGTGCTGAATTAGCTGGCTTGGGACTGGACAGGCTGAGGTGGGAGCACTGCCAGGGGAGCTGGGGGACCCTTGGCCCAGCTATGCAAACCTCTAATTCACAGGTAGTTTGGGGATTTCTAAGCTGCACTGTATTGCATAGGCTGGATGTAAAATTTTAAGACACTTGAACACCAAATAATGGTCCACTTCCTTTCTTCTTTCCTCTTTTTCTTTTGACCTGCATTAAATTTATGGGTGGATGGTACCTAGGTTAATWCTAAAAGGGTGAAGGAAGGTTGAACTTTTTGCCATCCCCTTCCCTCCTCTAGWACATTTTATATTTTCTCGTTGGTACTGAGTTATTTTCCATAACTACAGAATAAAAAACCCATTAAAAATATAATGCCATTATAGCCCCAAGAAACTTGGCAGGAGAAGCTAAGTAGGTTAAACCATTTTTGTAAGCCAATGAGATATCAAATTGATGGAGTTCTAGCAAAGCTATATAATAAATTACCCGTGTGCAAGCCATTGCTTTCTTCTCCTGCTTTCAGCTGTGTACCAGGGCAGCTCCAAAGACTAAGCTCATGGGCAAATGACAGARGGAWTTTACATYTGAGTGGGATAAGTAAAAAGAAAAYAGGCATTGCTGAYAARTGAACTCAGAAAACACCTGTAACTCAGATTTTAAAAATCATTTCATGAAAACAAAGTGTAGAACATTACCACACTGGGGAATCATAGAGTAGAGTTCTTAAGTTGCTGCAAAGAGCAACTATTCCAACTTAATTTACATTTTTTTTCTCTTCTAGGTTTATTTGAAAATTGATTAGTGATACTGGATAGTAGTTATCTTTCAAAATTGCTCAAATTTGGTCTTTCAATTGTTCATAAAACAATGAGAAGCAACACATTAGCATTTAGTGATCATATTTATTCAAAAATTCTTCAGCTAAATACAACCAAATTATCTAAAGATTTACCTGTCTTGTGGAACAACACTGCTCAAGTTTTCCTATTTTCTTCTTTAACTTGTTAAATGATTTCACTTAGACTAAAAGTTATCTTAGAAAAGTACCTAGCCCTGATTTGAAGAGAACAACAGTTTGAAAGCTTTATGTTCRACTAAACGGTTCTTTCTCCAATTTGTTATTCTCCAGATTAGGAAATAAAACTTTGCWACACAGCAAATTAATGATGCCAAAGTCCTCCTTCAAAGGGTAGTTTCATGGACATATGATTTACCAGGAATTTGCCATAATAATTATAAACTTCTCATGCATTGTATGTTATTCATCTTATGAAAATATTAATGCCTTGAAATCTGCATTGTTAGGCTTTAAAACTAGAATGCAAGTCCTGTATTTGATGAAATTCTGGGTTTCCCAGTCACTCACAGTGCTGTCATTATATATACAARTTTGGCTAATAAATCAGCATAAAGCATGTCAGAAAGGTGATGCATTATTTACTACAGACAGAGTTTGTTCTGCTTCCCTGCGAATCCTGCTAATTTCATTGGAAAAGAGGTGGTGTGGATGCCTGGAGACTTTCTTTAGCRGTGCAAACATACAACTACTGCATTTCAAAATGGCTTTAGGGGCTGGCAAGCTAAGAAAATTTGCAAAGTGTAATAAAAAGATAAAAGACTTTTTCAGTATCTATAGGTAGTGTTCAACATAAGATTCCCAACCAATTTGGAGGGGTTTGTCCCTTTCTAKCCATACATAATTTCTGAGACAGTAGGAGACTTTACAGACCATACAACTTGTAATTCTTTCTAAATTTTCCCAGCTCCTTAGGCTGGACATCACTTGRGATCCAAGATAATTTGAAGAAACTTGAACTTCCTCATATTAACAACACAGGAATAGGTTAAAAATATATACATTRCCAAAAATGTTTTAAAATTATCATTGTATTCATCCTAAGTCTGGATCCTGCTCTTCTCTTTCTGCATAGCATCAGCTTTACATGAGGGAAAGGTTGAGTCTCAGGTGCCATGGAGATTCAAGGTAACTTCTCCATTTCAGAATGTATTGTTCAGTATGGTCACAGCTCAACTTACCTTAAGATGCAGAGAAAAATTAGTTACTGGCTGCAAGYATAAATCCACTTGGAAAAAAATCTGTATCAGTCAAACAAACAAATAACTCTGCTATTAAATTGAAAAAGTTGGTAGCAGAACACATCAGTGCTTGAAATTATTTTCCAATGCTACTTGTGAACCTCAAGGGTTTGTTTTTTTTTTTTCCTTTTATTTTGTAAAAAGCTGATCCCAAGTAGCTCAAAGGCAGCTGGGAATCCATCAAGTGTTTTAAAATCCATAATAGCCTGAGATGTATTGACTTCACAACCTGGCTATAAACATCCAAAAGGAAAATGATTTAACAATATGCCACATATGATCTCTGAGTTCTGAGAAAAATGAAGTTAGCTGGCAAACCATCAAGTAATTTGCATACAAGGTGTTCCTTAAGCACATCTGCAGTGATCTGTCCCATTTAAAAGCAAAGTACACAAAGTGCACAAGTAATCACAGAAATATATGAACTGTGCTTGTAGATAAAACCTCAACATGACACTGAAGAACAAACAAATCCTGAAAGAGGTCCTTTGAAGAGATCCAGAGAATTACCAATGCATTTTCAGTGACAGCAATGTGGATTTGAGTCCAGTATCTCCTGGGTCAGTGAGAAAAGGGGACTTTCCAGTAAATGTACTTATAGTCTAKTGTTTATATGTGCTTTCCAGGTATAAATATTCTCCCATTTCCAAGCTGGCAACAGGATATTTCTGTTCTTAGGGAAAACGCAGAGCAGGAAGGTCTACAAAGCCCTAAATAGATATGAAATCCTGACAGACTTGGGTTTGGATCACAGTCACAAGTCCCTGGGACAGTGACTAATCCCGAGTGACCCGACAGAGGGGCTGGGAGGGACTCATGGCCCCACAGCCTCCAACCAGGAGCGGGAAGCGACAGCACAGCTGGTACCTGTGTCGGTACCTCCCTGGAGAAGGGGCT